AATTTGCCCAAAATCCGAGACAGTTTTATAATTTTGTAAGCATGTAGCGTAAATCTTCAAGTTTGCTATCTTCTTTTTCTCTTGGGATGGATAAAGCTAACAATGACACTGATTCTGCTAACCTCTTTGCTAATTTTTTCCAATCAGTCTGTCATAATATTAATTCTTACCCTTATACTATTTCTTTCGCTAGTTCTATACCTCCTCCCATTATTTCACACTCCTCTCTCCTATTAAATTAAAAACTCTTTAAAGTCTTCTTACTCTCCTGGGCCGGACAATTTTCCTAGTTGTCTACTCAAGGAGTGTAGTTCTTCCCTTCTTTATCCATTGCTAAAGCTTTTTAATCTTTCCCTTGAAATTTCTGTCTTTCCATCTCTTTGGAAAGAGTCTTATATTATTCCTCTTCCCCTGCTCAACATGGATTCGTTAAGAGTCGGTCAACTACAAACAACCTGCTTGAGTTTACTTCCTTGGAAAATTATGCGCCGTGTACTCATGTATGCGGACGATGTCAAACTTTTTCTATCATACACTAATCCCCTACATCATTCTCGTCTTTAAGATGACAATCGACAATATCCCTTTGCAACGTATACTAACAGTTAAGGATCTAGGCGTTATTTTTGATTTTAAGCTCTGTTTCAATTTTCACATAAATACCATTGTTAATGATGCAAAAGGTGTACTTGAATTTATTAAACGATGGTCTAAAGAGTTAAACGATCCTTTTATAACAAAACGTCTGTAAATCTCTCTTGTTCGCCCTATCATTGAATATTGCTTTTGCATCTGGTGTCCACAGTATAACAATAGCCAGGATCGTATTGAATCTGTTCAGAAGCAATTTCTGTTTTTTGCCTTACGAGGTTTAAATTGGAACCCTAACCTTCGGTTGCCATCCTACTCCAGCAGACTGCTTCTTCTCAACCTTCCGTCGTTAACCAACCGTAGGACAATTCCCGGTGTTGTCCTTCTACATAAGTTGATTATTGGTGACATAGATTCTCCTTTTCTGCTAGGGCGTCTTTAATTCTCTGTTCCGGCTAGACCAACCAGAAATTACCGCCCGAAATATCCTATCTACGTGCACAATAGACTACGCTATGCACAATCTTTTTCGCGTGCTATGTAAAAATTATAATAGTTTGCATCACGTTTTCTCTACCGAACTTTCCCTACCCCTAATAAAATCATTGCTTTCAGGATACCTTCGGGAAGTCGCTGACCATTCCCAGCTATGAGCAGGGGCATAGCTTGCCGGACAGGCTGAAAAAATTTTCCCCCACCGGGTCGGTGATTTCCGACATATTATGGCGACTTGGCAGCTCATATTTCGGATTCAGCAGAGCAATAAGTTTCCGAAATCTTTGGTCGTCCAACATATTAAATGGAAACATTTGGCATAATATTTGTGAAACATTTGGCATAATATTGAGTCTATATATTGCCTTTGTTTTGGCGTAAGCTCTCGAGCACCAAATAGAGTTTTGATTGTCGGTTGACGACACATAAGCTCTTGCTCTGCACAAATTCTTCCTCCTTGTTTTCCGGATCATTTTCTTTATTTGCATTGATTTCAATCATTTCAAACGCAGGACTGCTGTTGCAGCTTAATTTGCTTTCTAATAAATATGCGCATGTGCGAATGTACGTACCTTTTTTGGCACAACACATGTTGGATCCTTGCGAATAATGTGTTTATGCAAACTACTTGTTGAAGTCTTATAGAAGTTCTTTTCCTTGCAAATGTTGGATTTTGCAAATTTGTCGTAGACAGCCTTATATAGGGACCAAATTTCATACGTTTTTTTATTTATTTTTATTTAAGGTAAAAACGTACGCACAAATTTATACGGTTTTTGTAAGTGTTGCAAGTTCAAAATAACAGCAAAGTACACATCAGCTTCATAGTTCTTAGCTTTGTAACCAGTACGAATGTAACAGCCTGAATAGAGGCCTGTGATACAGTACTCAGCTCTTCGTCGAGTACGAAAGGAACAATCTGAGTACGGGCCTGTGACACAGTACTCAGCTCTTCGAAGAGTATGAAATTAATAGCCTGAGTACAGAGTACAGACTGCAAGTTTTTGATTAAACAGCAACCATAACAAGTAAGAGGTTCTAGTCGGGAGCTCCCGACTAGGGGATACCCTGAACCCTCTTCTTCCAACATCAAATGCATATATATATTCTCTTTTAGAAGCTATATGTCAAGTTTGGTGACTCTAGCTCTTATTATTTACCAAAACTTCAAGTCTCTAGCTCTTATAGGTTCTGAGATCCTTGCGTTTATACGTACGGTCAGACGGACAGACGGCCATGGCTAGATCGTCTCGGCTATTGGTGCTGATCAAGAATACATATACTTTATGGGGTCGGAGATGCTTCCTTCTGCCTGTTACATACATTTGGCTTTCGCACAAATACAATATACCCTTATACCCATTTTTAATGGGTTCAGGGTATAAAAATGGTTATTTGTGTATATTGCGACATCTTAATTTTAAGGATTAGGATTGTAAAATATTAATCATAATTTTCATAACGTGTGCAATGTGTTTTCAGATTTTTTTTGTCAGTTTATTGACAGAATCATAATTTTCCTAAATAAATGAGTATACGTCACAAGCAAAAAATAACTTATTTGTAGTTTGTTTTAGCTTCACAAGAGCACTTTCTTGCGACAGCTGTGCAACTTTGCATGTCTTATGAAAAACAACAACGCTACCCGCTTCACTTCTAAAAGTATAAACAAATTTATTTGAGATGTCTTTTACACTTTTCGCAAAACCCACCACTTTTGGTGAAAAGCGCGGGACAAATAGGCTATTTTTGAGATTTATGGTTCACACCACTAGACTAAAAGGGGTGAACTTACATATTTTCTAATGTATCCATAACATATATTTTAAAGCGTTTAGTTCATGTCGCTTGCATCTGGTCTAAAATCGCGAGTAAGGGAGTAAGATATACAAATGATATCTATTTATTCGCTTATACTACAGGAAACTGCTTGGCGCACTCTCTTCCATATGATTTGTGATATAGAACGGCAACGGTGTTTATTTTTATCTCGCTCGCACTTACTCTCAGTGCGCTCTCATGTTTAGGGATCGTGTGTGTGTATGTTTCCGACAAGCAAAAATGCGCACAAATCAAATGTTTTTCAAATGCCGCAGTCATTTCTACTCTTTTGAAGGCACGAGTAATATGAAATAGAGAACGGCTTTGCCACGTCTATGCGAAATTCTTACATTTTAGCTCGATATCGTTGGTAAGGCTACCTAAGCGTTGGCATGTGTGAATTTAAAATATTTTGGACTCGCTATTCACGCATACTTGCATATTTTTTATATGAATAGAAGCAGTTATGCTCTTGTGTGCTTGTTGCTTGCTTGCCTGCCTGCCCCCGATGCAAATTTGACAAGATTTTGAGATTTCTGATTTTTGACCTCTACACACAGACACACACACACACACATACACACACAAATGTGTATGAATGGGAGCTCCCGACTAGAACCTCTTACTTGTTTTATTTTTTTTTTTTGCTGGTGTGACTGTTGAGTAGAGTCGACAGCAAGTAATGCGGTCAGTTGCGAGTTCGAAAACTGCCAAGGGAACTTTTTTGTATACCCTGAACCCACTAAAAATGGCCGTCTGTCTGTCCGCCCCTCCGTCCGTATGTATGAACGCAAGGATATCAGAACCTATAAGAGCTAGACACTTGAAATTTTAGATGTAGGTGCTCCTAGCTTAGCTCCCGCGCAGATCGAGTTTGTTTCCGATAATCAATAACTTACTCCGTTTCCAAGCAATCGATAAAAATATATCCTGTTTTTTGGGCAATTTTGGTTAATAATACGAGCTATAGTCACCAAACTTGACATATAGCTTCTAAAATAGAATATATATATGCATTTGATGTTGGAAGAAGAGGGTTCAGGGTATCCCCTAGTCGGGAGCTCCCGACTAGAACCTCTTACTTGTTTTCATACATACATATGTTAGACATACATATATAGAACTATATATGTTGGAATATGCCTTTAAGCTTCATGGTATCGGCTCAATGCTCTAGTTGCGACGCTTCTCAGACTGATGGCCTACACAGAGCGCAAGGTCAGCGTTACCGCTTCCGCTTGGTTATATTTGGCTTTGTAGATAAAAACAAGTCCCAATAAATATACTTCTCCGGCGGTGCTAGTTAACGTACACCCAAGCGACAACCAGAAGACATCCAATTTCATAACTGGCGCCCAACTAATAGAATCGGAACCCACATCAGCAGCTATATCAGATGCCCCATAAAATCATATAACATTGCCAAAAAATAAGCAAAAGTGATTGTGAAAACTTTTTTATTTACAGTAAACTCGTATAAAATGCGATAGCAGTCTTAAACTTCACAAATGATAGGGAACATATCATGTGAAACATTTATTTTGAATGATGATATTTCACGAGGGGTGGAGAAATTAGTTAGTTGGAGAAATGGTTAGTGCCTATATTTCCGTTTGCTCCATTTTAAACGTCTTTTAATGCATCTGGAATAGCTAGATAGGCCCAAAAACGATTTGAGGCCGAACAACGTAGGTGGTGGTTGGATATTCGATATTACTTGGATCTTGTCTGGCGATGTTGTTATACAACCCCTAGACACTACAAATTCTAGGGAATTGATAGGATCTTGGGCATGTAGTGCGAGCACTAAATACTAGACATCGATGCTAGGCAAGTGTATTTATTTTCGCACTGGTCTTTCACTCCCAAATTCTCATTTTCCTTGGACAACGGAATCATGTCAATGTCCCCAAAATAATATATATATATATATATATACGATCTGCTTAATTTTTCATTTTTATGTCCATTCTTACCCGCCAAATATAATAATATAAGATTGCAATATATTTTATTTATTAAATAAATAATTAGAAGCATATAAAACTACACGTTTTCAGTCTTTCGAAAAACTCTTTATGAACCTACTTATGTGCATGAAGAGAACTTAAAGATTCAAAATATAGACTTAAAATACGTATAGGACAAGATATATTCTTCAATTGTTTAAAATATAAGAGCAGATATTTAACATTCGCTTACACATATTATTTATTTTCATACATATATATGTTAGACATGCATATATAGAACTATATATATTGGAATATGCCTTTAAGCTTCATGGTATCGGCTTATGAGCTATTTATAATATTTAATAACTCAATGTGCTTCTTTACTTCCTAATGCAATACTTAAAACGTGTGAGCAAAAACAAAAAGCCATGAAAACAAATTAAATTGCATTACCGCACTAAAATAATTCAATATATATTAAATGTATGTTGAATATTATATACGTGTTTCAACCATTGTTAAAAAATTGAATATTATACTCTTGGTGTTAATACTAACGGAAAGCAAATTGTAGGTAAAGCTACGCTAGCAGGTTTTATTTTAATTGTTGAAAGATCAACACTATTTATATTGTATGTTTTTATTATATTGGCTAACAAAACAAATCCAAATCCACGCACCAAATTTTGTCCAATGCATGTGCGCTTTCCAATACTGAAAGGCAAAAAATGGGGAATATTCTTTTTTAGCTGCAATTTTTTTGGCTTATAGTTTTCTCTCATATTTTGTTTATTTAACTTGCTTGGTATATATTGATGTTCAGCAGAAGAATTGTGTATTCTTGCATCTTTTTCAAACTCAATACCTGAATCAGACTCTTCGGAGCATCTCCTTTTGCCATAACATTTTTGTGGCATTGACACACTACTAGTCACTTCTTCTAAAAATCTTTCTGGTTGAAATCTATCAGGATCCTTCCAGTACTTCTGGCTCATGTTGAGCACATAATTATTTATAAAAACAATACTGCCGCTAGTAATGTCATAACCTGATATCGATGTATCCTCTGTGGCTACATGGGGAACAATGGGTGACGATGAGTATCGTAAGACTTCCAATATAGTAGCCATGGTATAAGGCATTTTATCCATATCATGTAAGGTAATAGTTCGTTGACTGCTTTCGGATACACAATCGATTTCGCATTGAATTTTTTTTCCAATAACAGGATCCTTGGCTACGTAAGCAAGAGCTAGCATAACTAAGTTTCCAACAGCTGAGTGACCACCTATAAAATCTTCTAGCATAAAAATAATTGTATTACGTGACACATTTTTATTTTCTATAAGACTCTTCAGGAGCGCATCTGTAAAATCAATGTCAGGTTCATCTATATCGATATGCAACTCTCTTTCATTAATTACCCGCTCCAAAATAAATTTGCGAATAGTGGCAGACCAATGGCATATTTTTTGCGTGTGATTAATGTAAATAGGCAAAAGCCAAGGTAAAAAATCTAATGGATGTCCTTGATTAATTTCCCAAAAAATTTCATCGAAATACAGAACAACTTGTTGAAATTCTTTGTCTTCATAATCGAACCGCATTGAGCACATATATTGACTAAACATATTTGCGCATGCTTTAAGAATAAGAGGTTTCAAATCAAGGGGCTTGCCAGGCTTAATGGCGTTTTGTAAATTTTGCATTAAATTATCAATTTCATTGCAACCGATACGAGACATTTTTGCGAAATATGATGATGTTTCTCGAGGAGAGCAGTGTCGTCGGGCCAAGTTTCGACGTTTCTGTTGTAACAATGACCAGTCGCAAAGGGCAAGAGCTGTAAAATAGAAAGATATATGACTATTTTGAAGCAAATAAGAATAAAAATGGTTATTTGTGTATATTGCGACATCTTAATTTTAAGGATTAGGATTGTAAAATCATAATTATAATTTTCATAATGTTTTCAAATTTTTTATGTCAGTTTATTGACAGTATCATAATTTTCCTAAATAAATGAGTATACATCACAAGCAAAAAATAACATATTTGTAGTTTGTTTTAGCTTCACAAGAGCACTTGCGACAGCTGTGCAACTTTGCATGACTTATGAAAAACAACAACGCTACCCGCTTCACTTCTAAAAGTATAAACACATTTATTTGAGATGTCTTTTACACTTTTCGCAAAACCCACCACTTTTGGTGAAAAACGCGGGACAAAAAGGCTATTTTTCAGATTTATGGTTCACACCACTAGACTAAAAGGGGTGAAACACGTTTGGGCTTTAAATTCAAGAGTTGGCAAACTTACATATTTTGTAATGTATCCATGACATATATTTTAAAGCGTTTAGTTCATGTAGATATAAGTTTTCCACGAGCGGGAAATGGGTCTAAAATTGTATAATATTTTAAGTAAAAAACATGGACATCCGGGAAACACCAGTAAATAAATAGGAATTCGAAACATAGTGACGTCACCTAGCCCTTACATACAATCACTAACCAAAGAACATGTAGACTGGACATCTCATAGAGGGAAATTGGGCCCAAAAATATCGCTTGCATCTGGTCCAAAATCGCGAGTAAGGGAGTAAGATATACATATGATATCTTTTTATTCGCTAATACTACTGGAACTGCTTGGCGCACTCTCTTCCTTATCATTTGTGAGATAGAACGGTAGATCGATAGAACGCTGTTTATTCTTATCTCGCTCGCACTTACTCTAAGTGCTCTCTCATGTTTAGGGATCGTGTAAATGTGTGTGTGTATGTTTCCGACAAGCATAAATGCGCACAAATTAAATTTTTTTCAAATGCCGCAGTCATTTCTACCCTACGAGTAATATGAAATAGAGAACAGGTTTGCCACGTCTATGCGAAATTATTACATTTTAGCTCGTTATCGTTGGTAAGGGTACCTAAGCGTTGGCATGTGTGAATTTAAAATATTTTGGACTCGCTATTCACGCATACTTGCAGTTTTTGTATATGAATAGAAGCAGTTATGCTCTTGTGTGCTTGTTGCTTGCTTGCCAGTCTGTCCCCGATGCAAGATTGAGATGTCTGATTTTCGACCTCTACACACAGACACACACACAAATGTGTATGAATGGGCGCAAAAGGAAATTTAATTATTGGCACTCGTCTGACGCGAGCGCTTCTTTTTTTTGATTTTGGATTTCAATTGATAAATGAATGTTGACCCCTTATTTCCCGTAGCAGTCCGTTGGACCGAAAGGGTAAACTTTTAACAAGCACCTGCACCTGCAAATGTACATAGGTAAAGTGACAGATCACTTATGTATGTAAATCATTTTAAGACCAACTGAAATTAGATCAAAAATTAAAATCTGTAAATATACAAACATCGATTATATATATAATTATTATATATATATATATATAATATATATATATATATATATCATTCATCATAATGACATTATATATTTATAATTCATTATTTCAAAACCAAAATCTGATCTTCGAATACCAAAGTAGTCCTCTAGAGCAAACCCCAAACCAAAATATATTGGACACCAACCTGTGACAGCCTCAATAGTAGGCGCAGTTAGCAGAGCATTACAAGTGGTCGCATAACACGATATTGAATTTTGATGCGATAATTGCTAGGTTAGACTGCACTTACGCCGATAAGACTTCGCTACACGTCCCCCGACAAGGATTAGCGCAGTAAGCTAACGTGACCGTAGCCTGATGTAGTCCTTCGCGACTACTATAGAATTTTTAACAAGTAAGAGGTTCTAGTCGGGAGCTTCCGACTAGGGAATACCCTGAACTCTCTTATTCCAACACCAAATAAATTTAAAAAAGTTCCCTTGGCACGGTTCGAACTCGCCACTGGCCGAATTACTTGCTGTCGACTCTACTCAACAGCCACACCAGCAAGAAAACAAAAAAGAGGTTCTAGTCGGGAGCTCCCGACTAGGGGATACCCTAAACCATCTTCTTCCAACATCAAATGCATATATATATTCTATTTTAGAAGCTATATGTCAAGTTTGGTGACTATAGCTCTTATTATTAACCAAAATTGCCCAAAAAACAGGATATATTTTTATCGATTGCTTGGAAACGGAGTAAGTTATTGATTATCGGAAACAAACTCGATCTGCGCGGGAGCTAAGCTAGGAGCACCTACATCTAAAATTTCAAGTCTCTAGCTCTTGTAGGTTCTGAGATCCTTGCGTTCATACATACCGGCGGACAACGGACGGACGGACAGACAGACGGACATGGCTAGATCGACTCGGCTATTGATGCTGATCAAGAATATATATACTTTGTGGGGTCGGAGATGCTTCCTTCTGCCTGTTACATACCTTTGGATTTTGCACAAATACAATATAACCTTTTTACCCATTTTCAATGGGTATAAAAAAAATGCAATTACCATGCTATTAGAATGCGAAGCAGACGCGCATGAATGTGTGTGTGTACATGTATACAGAAATTATTAAAGCTGCTGCCCCATTTAATTGCCCAGTTGCATATAACTTTGGTGTTTCTTAACCGATCTATTTATGAAATTTTCTACAGTATATCTTATTCTACCATAGAATATTTGTGTATTATGAAAAAGTCAATTGCATTTAAATTGTGGTTTAAATTGGTTGGCAACAAAAGTTGGGTTATTAACTTGAATTATAGCTCTGGGATAGTAGCGGGGAGGTGGCAATAGGTATGAAATGAAAGATACTTCAAATATCTAAAATATTCTAGAAGCAACATATCATGTTTGGTGGCTCTAGCTCTTATTATTTACCCAATTTGCTCAAAACACTGGGTGTCGATATCGATTCTTCTCGATTGCTTGGAAACAGAGTAAGTTATCGAATATCGGAAACAAACTCGATCTGCGCATCGACTAGGAGCACATACATCTAAATTTTCAAGTCTCTAGCTCTTATAGGTCTTGAGATCCTTGCGTTCATACATACATACGAACAGACAGACGGACGGTCTGTTGATGCTGATCAAGAATATACTTACTTTACCTTATCGGGTCGGAGATGCTTCCTTCTGCCTGTTACATACATTTGCAGTTTGCACAAATACAATATTCCCTTTTTACCCATTTTCAATGGGTTCATGGTATTAAAATGTACAAGATTGCCTATAAAGCCGGTATAAACTTGAAAAATTACACCAATGCAAGATATGAACAGTTTCCCAAAATAAAAACATAGAATAACGCCGATAGTTTCATATGGTGTCTAAATTTTGAACTTAGACGTTTTTTTCATATTATTAAAAAACAGTTCTTGTATTGACAAGTTTTTGAAATAATCAATTGTACAACACATCGCATCGTAAATGATAGCTGGTATAACAGTCCCCATTATGAAAATGGTGAGCTTATTTCCAGAGGCGACCGTTTTACTATATTGCGATAACGAAGTGTTTTTCAACTGTGAAAGCATTACTTCATTGTTAAGAAAATAACAATTTGCCAAAAATATGGTCACTGCTACCTAATAACATTTTCATAGACTAGTGAAAGATTAACAAAAAATTCTTATCTACAGCCGCATGTGCACATTATATACCTTGCTAGCCATAACAATAACAATTTGAACTCAAAGGTATGGGATCAACGAAACTATGTAAAGCCTTCAAGTAACCTAACCGATTTATAAGATACATCGCACATGCTATTAGACATAAATATTCAGCATATTCAAAGCTAAGACTTTTAAGGTATGGCATTAAATGCTGTAGCAGCTACCCCACTTGTTGCAGATTTTGAAAAAGGAGATTAATTTTGCAATTATATGTTATATAAAGCAAAAAGCACTTCCGACTTTAGTAAGATAAGCTATTCTTGATCAGGATGACGAGTTGAATCGATCCATCCGACGGTCTGTTCGTCCGACCTGTTATCTGTTTGTTTGTCCTTCTGTTTCAGCGCGTCCACTTCGGAAACTAAAAATGCTAAAACCTAAAATATATACTTTTCAATACAACAACAAGTTTGACATTTGAAAGCATTTTTGTCTAAATCTTGTCCCTTTGAAGAAAAGTTGTTAATTTTTCCATAATTTCTGTATTATCATAATTGCCTTAATTAGGCATCGTTTACGCAGCTAGCCTGTCAGTGATACGAGGGGAATAAGGTGTAACTTCGTCAGTCATTTGACTCTACCAGTGCTAACAATTATCATAGTAAGGCGAAAGAACACAATCCGATCAAAATAACCCCAATCTATGATAAAAAAGAATTGTGCTGAAAGGGTTTTTGTTCTCTACTGCCGGCTTTTTAGTTCAAGAAATGACCTCCTGCGACACTTAAGCTATTTTGCAGTGAAATCATCGAATAAAAGAACAATATAGTCCGGTCAATGCTCTAGTTGCGACGCTTCTCAGACTGATGGCCTACACAGAGCGCAAGGTCAGCGTTACCGCTTCCGCTTGGTTATATTTGGCTTCGTAGTTAAAAACAAGTCCCAATAAATATATATATATATATATATATATGGTGATAGTCAACGTACACCCAAGCAACAACCAGAAGACATCCAATTTCATAACTGGCGCCCAACTAATAGAATCGGAACCCACATCAGCAGATATATCAGATATTGTCAAAAAAATGTATTTACAATATACTCGTATGCAATGCGGCAGCAGTGTTAAACTTCCGGCCATAAAATATTTTTATAAACGGATCTTACAATGGATGTGCTTCAGGTGCGAGCCATTATTCATAGCGTATTAGTCGAACTGGCAGCGATTGAGGGCTTTGAGCTTAGACCATGTGGAAGCTTATCAAGTAATTGCGGTGGACCCTAACATTAGTTGCGAGGTTAAGCTAGATATAATAATATCCGTTAACTAATTTCATGGTGACCAGTATGAATATGTATACTGGATGCAGTGAGCCGTAGACGCATATGAAGTTTTAAAAGCATATTACGGTAGGAAAGGCTGTAAGCATTTTTGATCGGGCAGGATAAATTAATATACACTGGCTCAAAACAGAAGCGCATGACTTGTCAAAGACGCTAGTGACTTAACGACGAGATAATGATGTTGTTAGGGGAAATTCCAGCAGTCGTTGATTGAACGTCACTTGGTTGGGAGGACTCTAAGACTCTTGATAGGTACAGAGGCGGGTTAAAACTACTTAAAGCCGGTAAAGCATGTTAAAAGCGTCACTTGAGTCGACTTCCCCTATTCCGCTAGTTCCATTCAAGATAAAAAAAATATTTAATTTACATCTTCTGAAAAGCTTCGACTTGCTAACGTGAATTGGGGTACCATTGAACCTTCGCGAAAATTCTATCAGCTATGGCGGAAAGACAGAAAAGTTACAATTTCATAGATGTGCTTATGCTATTTTCACGTCGAGGACATTCTTGTATTGCACACGAATCAGACTACCATCAAACTTTTTCTCGCGGAACGGGATCTCAAAAATCTTCATTTTCTGTAAACGGAGTGAAATACTAGTTCTGTCGTCTACCGTTTGGAAAGAGAGCTGCGGGAAGCATCAGATAATGTAGAGTATATTACCGCTGTGCTTAAGGCTTTGTCTGATGAGAGCACGCGAGTAGCGACAGAGAAGCGAACATTATAGGTGCTTCGTAAAAGAATTTTCGTCAAAAGAGCTACTCACCAACATATTGATTGGCGAAAATGCATTTAGCAAGCATAGTCTATAATGATTCAAATCGATTTTGACGAAACACAGCGGAATGTTTTGAGAGAATTTTAAGCATTTTGGCGTCAGACGTGGAAATGCTCAAGATTTAAAAAATCTCTTTGGTCTGATCACTGATGAGTCCGTATATGGTGCAATCCTGTCGCAAGAAGGTACGCAGTGAAAGATTGAAAGTTGGTTGAAAGTTTAAAACACGGAAGTTGCTTTCTAATAGTTCGATAATTTTTCAAAAAGTGATCTCTCGCTTATTGAAATATCGTAATATCAATTAAATGTATCAGAGTTACAGATGCATACTTATCGATAACTAAGTTAACAGCTGATTTGTTAGAATTTACATTCACAGTATTCCAGATTTTACATTCGGCCAACGTGACTACAGATCGACCATATATATTAACGTTCATCCATTGCTTACGCACATATTAACAACATAAATCTATCGTATTATTTTTGCACTGCAACGAAGGTTTAAGTTTTGCTGGGTCTAATAGACTTCGGAACGGCAATTGTGTTAACTTGCAATCCTCAATGTCTACCATTTATAACGATCGTTAGCAAGCATTCGATTGATCCTGTATGGGCCTCGGTAATTAGGTACAAACTATTCAACAACAGGTTCTTACTGTGGTATTCCGAATAACAACGTGTCTTCTGAGGGCTAATCTGAATTTTTTCAATCATCTCGCAGTAGGGGTTCAGACAATTTACCAAGCATCAGTGTCAGGACGCGATTGAGATGCTCGAGTTGACCATGAGCCTGCAGTGTGACCGTAGTTCCCTTAATGTGCTCAATCCCTCGTTCTTGTAGGAAATTAGTAAATTGAGGTCTTTAATTGAGAAACAGATCCGTTGTTTTAAAAATTCGAGATAATCCTCAATAAGGGGTAACGGGAAATTTTTTTTTCAATTTTCTTATTAAAATCATGATAGTCAACGCACATACGAAGTTCTCCTGACTTTATCTTGACTAAGATCAATGTCCGATTACTTTCTTTTCTAAGATATCCTCCACAATAACTACCTTCTACTTCTCATGGTTAGGAAGACGTCCTGGATCGTAATAAAATGGCGTAGTATCAGTCAGTTGAATTGTCATCTGATACTTTGGAGATGCTTTAAAATCAAATTCTTTACACAAATAATGAGTTCTTATTAACTCTGTGCAATTTTCTGCACTTGAACTGCATTATTGAGATCGATTTCTATACGCGCACAAAAATTACTAATCTTCTCTCCTTGGTTCCAATATTCGTTATTTATTTGATCAACTATTAGGCCATTTTGCTTGTGATTAATTAATTGATTAGAAAGAATAGTATTGCTTAGCTCACTACGCTGTGATTGGTTATAATTATATTTATTTGAATTAGATGATGATTTATTGGTGAGTAAAGACGCACAAACTAGGTTGGCGACTTCATGCTTTATTGAACTTAGTGTTGTATAATAATTTGCATTAATGTTTTTCTTATGAACTAATTGTTTTTCGATGATTTGGAGAACATCGGGTCGCAAAACAACTGGCAAAGGTAATAAATTTTCGTCTACGATATGTAACGAAACTGCATATGTCTTATTGACAATTTTTTCAAGACACTTAAGCCTTACACATATTGTAATTAGTCCTTATTCATGGTAATTACTTTTTTCTTATCAGAACAGATTGTGATATTAAAGATTTATGATTGAAGCTTACAGGACTACCTGTATCAAATAAACTGAAAACACTAATGTATTTTTGCCCACTAAACAGACTTCATATGTTGTGTTCTGCTTACTCGGGCGCTCGTTACATTGTACTGCAGCTACCACATCATTTTGCGTTTAGGAACTCGGACTTAAGCAATTAAAATATGCCACATCTGGGCTCTTCGGCTAACTCCCTGATGCTGATTGGCTACTGCACTCACTTTTCCTTAAGCTACGTACTCTCTCCGACTTGGCACGGATATAAACGATTTTCTTATCTTATCTTACAAGCCGTTCAATGAGCAGCCAAATAGCATGGATGCCGTTGTGTCTGTCCTTTACATCCACTATGAGTTTGACCACATGACTCATAGCCAAGTCTGCTTGCGCTGCTTTGCTACACATCACACAAAGTTTTGCCAATCACTTTCGATATTGCGAGCCTCCAACCTCTTCACACACTGCCAGACCGTTAACTTCTGTTTAAAAAACTTTAACCAGCTCTTGCTCTAATAGGTTCCAAGTTAATGGTGCCACATAAGTAATGTAAATCTTCCCTGAGCCACTTAAAAGGCGTTTAAGAGCTGCACTTAGTTGACTTATGTTAGCGTCTTCATTAAACTGCACGATCTGGCTGTCTAATATAGCAATTAATTCCAATTTTGATTCGCAAAGTATGGCTTCGTGTTTCATAATACATTATTTCGGGCAGACCCCACACCTGATTTATAAAACAACGAAATGGTTTCTTATTCTTCAACACAGCCTCGCGGTTCAATCTTCCAAAAAGTGATCGCTTGAATTATTGATACATTCATTCGGTTTGTATTGATATATTAATTACATTTAACCACTAACCGTGCAATGTATAGATACATACATCAAACAGCCAAAATAATCGAAACACGATTAATCGCTACGAGGGAACCCCAAAATGCTTGCGTTCATTTTCTTATGCCCAGAGAGACTGCTGATAAGAATGAAGCTGCATCTCGTTCAGCGCACAACGTCGCTGCGGCTGATGAGTTTTCTTAATATATGTGTGTTAGGCTTAAATCATAGTTCGCAAATTTCGGTACTCCCTTTCTGGTTGTCTGCAAAAAAACGGCAAAAGAGAACACCTGCATCTAGGTTTCTACGCACAAGACACTGGGTCCGACCAAAAACACTTTCCGTTCTTTTTTTTTCGCACATGTTATTCCACGATCACTAAACAGAAAAAAAAACTGCCAAAGTGTCTTTTGTGGATATGCATGTTTTTGTTATACCCTGAACCCATTAAAAATGGGTATAGGGGTATATTGTATTTGTGCAAAATCCAAATGTATGTAACAGGCAGAAGGAAGCATCTCCGACCCCATAAACTATATATATTCTTGATTAGCATCAATAGTCGAGTCAATCTAACCATGTCTGTCTGTCTGTCCGTCCGTCTGTCTGCCCGTCCGTCTGTCTGTCTGTCCTATCGTATGTATGAACGCAAGGATCTCAGAACCTACAAGAGCTAGAGACTTGAAATTTTAGATGTAGGTACTCCTAGTGCGCAGATCGAGTTTGTTTCGATAATCGATAAATTACTCCGTTTGCAAGCAATTGATAAAAATCGATATCGACATCCTGTTTGAGCAAATTGGGTAAATAATAAGTCACCAAGCCTGACATATAGCTTCTAAAATAGAATATATATATATATATTTGATGTTAGAAGAAGAGGGTTCAGGGTATCCCCTAGTCGGGAGCTTCCGACTAGAACCTCTTACTTGTTTTCTATTAATTATTGAATGGGTGTTTGCTTATAGCTTTAAATATATACATGTACACATGTACATCGTGCCCTCTTTCTCTCTTTCTTTCGCTCTAGCTTTCATTGATATCGTCTCACGTCAATAACAAAAAAAGGCAGTTCGCTTCCACATTTTTCGTTTTGCTCTTCGACAGACACTTATTTTCTATGCGATCGGCCGTATGTGTTCTTGTAAGATGTTACTGTTAGACAGAACAGTGTGTATTGCTCAAGCAAAAGCACGAACAGAGTACACAAGCGCAACGAATAAAAGTGTTCTATAGAGAGTTAAACCGAATCTGCTTCGTTTTTTTCGGTTTTTTTGTGTGCAGACCGCATTGAAAATAAGTGTTGACGGTTATTTGCGACCTCTGGTTTAAATCCATAGAGCCCAAAAAACATATGTGTGTATGCATGTGCATAGTGTGCCACTCTCTTCTGATTCTCCCTGGATAGCTTTTCAAAGAATCACCGAGGCGTGCAAACATACATATGTTTATATTTTGTGGACGTGCGCACAAGTAGATCAGGGCGTTTGGCTCGAGCCAGATATTTGTTCTTCAATATTATCATTAAAATACTCTATCATGTACTTCTTCGTCCAGTCAGGCAGAATGGGAAGAATCTGATCAATTTTTATTTAATAAAATCTTAAATGACCTAAAGAAAATATTTATATTTTGTAATATAATTTACCTGAACGTTGGCATGTATGCATGAAATTTGGACCGGCCGGCACTCTCACTAACACACATTTCTGTATGGATGGAAGCATTTATACGTTTGTGTGCCTGTTGGTTTCCTGCCTGTCCAATGCAAATTTTGACAAGTTCTGAAGTTTATGGGGTTTCTGAGTTTTGTGCTCTACAGACACACACAAATTTGTGCGGGGTTTGTCGTGAGACTGAAACAATAACAGAAGCTTAGGAAAGGTTAACCCCAAATTGCTCAGAAGAAAACATACATGCTCCCTTAGGAACGTGTCATTAAAGGGAGGGCCCATAACGAAACCTAAAGGGACGATTAAGCAATTTTTAATTGCTTTAGATATATTACATTAAAGGTTAGTAAATAGATCTAGACAGAGTCCCCAAAGTTCGCTTAATGGAAGTATCCAATTTAAAGTCCTTCAGTCCAATAATGTTATTGACATTTTAATGGCTGAACGCGACGATAGATTCCGAGCCTTGACAGGTTTTTTTTTGTTGTATTTAACGCGAATCCCGATGCAAGGTACTGCATCCCGCCCAAGCGACCGAGAGGCGCAATCGTGTAACGTACGACACGACTTGCAAATCAAAATGAATAAATAAAATTAGAAAAAAAAAACGAAATAAGCTACGACTATATGTACAAATACAATAACAACTGAAAATAAGACTATATACTTGCTAGAATAAAAGACTTTATAAGAGGAAGAGACGACTCCAAGCAGAATACTCTGTAATGCTTGTTATAGTCATCACAGAGAACCCTGAATGGTTCCTGCAAAGCATAATTATTTTAGCAAAATTGAAGCGATAAGGGTGCAATATTACATGTAAGTTTCGTAGGGATAGAGAAATTGAACTGACTAGTCAACACAGAAGAGTCGATTTCACCGGTAATTAATTTATGAATATATATTACACTCAGCATGGTTCTACGATTCATCAAAGATTAAAAATCAGAAGTATGCTGGACTATGACTGTAACCGCACACGAGGATCCCAATTAAAACCACGAAGGGCACTAGAACTAGAATTGTTTCTGAACGGATTCAATTCTGTCTAGTGTATTTTAGGGACTAGATACATGAGGCAAACTCAAGAATAGGTCATACCAAAGATAAATAAAGTGTTTTTGTCGTGTACGGATCGTCAAACTCTTACGACCATCGTTTGATGCAACCCATAACTATTCTTTCCTTATTTACCATGGTCTTAACATGCGAGTCGAATTTAAGTTTAAGATCAAGGATGACACCTAGATCATTAACTTCATAAGAAGTACTGTTGACACGCTCGAGCGGTAAGCTATCAAGGATCCAAGAAAGCAATTGAGGAGGGCTTCTATAGATGGCCATTACCTAACATTTAGAGCAGCTTAAGATTAAAAGGTTGGCTAGACACCAAGCCTGAAACGCATTGATGTCAGAGATAACATGATGCCATAAATGTATATGCAAGGCATAATTTAACTTTATCAGCTTACAATAATACTCGAGAGTGAAACAGTATCGAGGGAAGGTCATTAATGAGTAGAGTAAATATTAACGGGCCAAGATGACTACATTGAGGAACACCGGAAGTCACCAGAATACGCCGAGAAGGCATAATTTATGAAGCAGCAAGTTGACAGGGTCGAAAGCCTTACTGAAATAGTGTAGATGACGTCAATCTGCATTCTTTTCTTAAACCCATAAATTTCAAGCGAAGTAAGCTCTAGAAGGTTAGTGGTTGTAGATCTGCGCTTCACGAACCCATGCTGTGAGGGTGAAATAATAGAACTACATAAATGTTGCAGTTGAGATGTTATAATTCTCTCAAAAGCTATAGGTATAGCGGATAATTTGGGAATACCTCTATAGTTTTCGACATCGGACTTACCCCCTTTCTTATGGAGAGGGATAATGTATGACTCCTTCCAAATGGTCGGAAAAAATGAAGTGTTTACAGACAACTCAAAATTTTTAAAACAGGTTTACATAATGCTGCAGCACAGTATCTAAGAACAGCAAGAACACTAGCAGGGCCCGGTGA